CATGTATAAGTACCTCATTTTTTGTATCCAATCTAAGGTTTATAGGCACCTGGTTTAATTCTGTCTTTGCTATTGTGAATCATGCTAGAATAAACATGTGGGTGCAGGTGTCTTTTTGGCAAAGAAAATTTATTCTTTTTGGGAATAATGGCACTGATGGGTCAAATGGCAATTCTATTTATAGTTCTTTGAGAAATCTCCAAACTACTTTCCACAGTGCTTAAATTTTATTGCATTCCCACCAACAATCTATAAAGATAGGCATTTCTCCACAACTTCAAATCTGTTATTTTCTGGTTTTTAATAACAGCTATTCTAACTGGTGTGAAATGGTATCACATTTTCATTTTGATTTACATCTCTAAGATGATAAGGAGTGTTGAACATTTTGGGCATGTTTACTGGAAACACTTATGTCTTCCTTTGAGAAGCATCTATTCATCTCATTTGTTTTTAAATTAATTTTTCAATAAATTCTATATATTATTTGTTGTATGCAGTTTGCAAGTATTTTACTTCATATTGTATGGTGTCTGTTTACTTTGTTGAGTTACTTCTGCTGTGCTGAAGGTCTTTAGTTTAATTAGATGCCATTTTTTATTTTTTATTTTAGTTTTTTGAGATGGAGTCTTGCTCTGTTGCCCAGCCTGGAAGGCAGTGGTGCAATCTCAGCTCACCACAATCTCTGTCTCCCCGGTTCAAGTGATTCTCCTGCATCAGCCTCCCAACTAGGTGGGATTACAGGTACAAGACACCATGCCTGGCTAATTTTTTATATTTTCAGTAGAGAGAGGATTTCACCATGTGAGCCAGGCTGGTCTCGAACACCTGACCTCAGGTGATCCACCCACCTTGGCCTCCCAAAGTGCTAGGATTACAAGTATGAGCCACCGTGCACGGCCTTTTGATTTTTATTTGCACTCACTTTTAAGGCTTTATTCATAAATTTTCACCAGAGGCCAGTGTCTAAAAAGAGTATTTTCTACGTGTTCTTCTAGAATTTTTGTAGCTCCAAGCCTCACATGTAAGTCTTTATCCATCTTGAGTTATAATTTGTATATGGGAAGAAACAGGGGTCCACTTTTTTTCTGCATGACTAACTAGTTTTCCCAGTAGTACAGTTTATTGAATAGGAGTTATTTCTCCTTTATTTCTGTTGACTTTGTCAAAAATAAGTTGATTGTAAAAGTGTAGCTGTTTTTCAGGGTCTCTCTTCTTTTCCATTGGTCTATATGTATATTTTTGTACCAGAAACATGTTATACTGTTACAGTAGCTTTTAGTACAGTTTAAAGTCCGGTAGTGGGAGGCCTTCAGGCTTTTTTTTTTTTTTTTTTTTTAATGTCTAAAGTTGCCTTGGCTATTTGAGTTTTCCTATTCTTCCCTATGAATTTTACTTGCTTTGTCACCCAGGCTGGAGTGCAGTAGCACGATCTCAGCTCACTGTAACCTACTCCTCCCAGGCTCAAGCATTTCCCCTTCTCAGTGTCCCAAATACCTGGGACTACAGGCATGCACCACCACACCCGGTTAATTTTTGTATTTTTGGTAGAGACAGGGTTTCACCATCTTGGCCAGCCTGGTATTGAACTCTTGACCTCAGGTGATCTGCCCACTTTGGCCTCCCAAAGTGTTGGGAATACAGGCAAGAGCCATCACACCCAGCCTAGAACTTTCAGAACTATGTTTAATAGAACTATTTAGAGTGGAAATTCTTGTCTTATGTTTATTTTCATGGAGAATACATCCAGATTTTGCTTGTTCAGTATGATGTGGCTTGAAGATTTGTGATGGATGGCTTTTATTATTTTGAGGTATGTTTCATCAGTGTCTAGTTTGTTGAGAATATTTTCATGAATCAATATTAAATTTTCTTGAATGTTTTTTCTGCATCTATTGTGTCAATCATTTAATTTTTGGCTTATCTTTACGTGGTGAAGAAAACTTAATGACTTGCATGTGAAAAAACATCCTTACATGGAATGAAGCTCACATGCTTGTGGCAAAATAACTTTTGGATTTACTTATAAACTCAGTTTACTATTATTTCACGAATAATATTTTTCAACATTTATAAAAATACTGGCTTGTAGTTTTCTTTTTTGTTGTGTCTTCACTATATTTTGCTATCAAGACGATACTGATTTTATATAACATTAGGGTGGAATCCCATCTCGATATTTTGGAATACATTTAGTAGGTTTAGTACCAACTCATCATTATATATATGGTAAAATTTGGCTATAATTTTATATCACACAGGGCTTTTTATGACTGATAGTTTTTTTTATTATTCAATGTTATTATATATTTTATACATTTTTGCTCTGGTCAAGGCTTCTTTTTTTTTACTGGTTCAATGTTAGAAAGTTGTGCATAGTTAAAACTTTATCAGTTTTCTCTAAATTTTTCAGTTTGCATACGTAGAGATGTTCATAGTAGTTTTTGAAAATTTTTGAATTTATGTAGAATTCATTGTGATTTTACATTTTTAAAATTAAATAGATGCAGAATAAATGCTTGACAAAATTCAACATTTCCTCATGATAAATCTCTGAAAAATTTAGGTATAGGAAAAAGGCACCTCAAGTCAATAAATGTCACATATAACAAAATATGCAGAGCTAATAACATACTAAACAGGAAAATGTAAGATTTTACTCTAAGATCTAAAACAAGTCAACAATGTGCCATTTCTTCAGTCTTACTAAACATGTCCAAGAATATGTTTGAAGAATATATTTCTTCTCACCCAGTTGAGAAGAAAAAGTTAAATTATTCCTGTATAATATTTTATCTCTATACATAATCATAAGTAAAGAAAAGCTTAAGAGTTTACTAAAACCTATTAGAATGAATAAACAAATTTATTAAACTTGCAGAATACAAAAGCAAGATCCAAAAGTCAGAATTTCTATGTACTGTCTCAAAATGAATTTAAAAACAATTCCATCTACAATAACTATAACTATACTTTGGAATAAATTTAACCAAAAATTTGAAACACCTTACATCATACTCTAAAGAACATTAAAGAAATTAATACATGAATAAAAAAATTACTTATTCATGAATTGGCAGTAATACTGTTAAATATTTGTATTAGAGAAAATCATCTACAGATATAATGCAATCTCAATAAAAATACCAGTGACATAATATTTTTAAAAATACATCTACAATTTATGTAGTACCACAAAGGACCCTGAATAGCCAAATAAACAAACAAACAAACAAAAAAAAAAAAAAGGAAAGATACCACACTACCTGACTTTGACTTTAAAATATACTATAGTATGTTTTAAAGCTATAGTAACAAAAACCGTATTGTACTTGAACAAAAACAGACACATAGGGCAATGGAGTAGGAAAAAAATAAGACCAGAAATATATCCATTTACTTACGGCTAAGTGATTTTAAATAATGGTGACTATTTCTTAGAGACAGGACAGTATCTTCAATAAATGGCATGGAGAAAATGTTATAGCCACAGGTAGAGTAATAAAATGAGACTATCGTCTCACACCATATATGAAAACCAACTCATAAAACTCATAATAAATTATTATTATTAATACTTGAGACAGAGTCTCACTCTGTCATCCAGGCTGGAGTGCAGTGGCACGATCTCAGCTCACGCCAAACTCTGCCTCCCAGGTTCATGTGATTCTCCTGCCTCAGCCTCCTGAGTAGCTGGGATTACAAGTGGGTGCCACCATGCCTGGTTAATTTTTGTATTTTTGGTAGAGATGGGGTTTCATCATGTTGGCAAGGCTGGTCTCGAGCTCCTGACCTAAGGTAATCTGCCTGCCTTGGCCTCCCAGAGTGCTGGGATTACAGTCATGAGCCACCGTGCCTGGCCACTCAAAGTAAATTACTTAAATGTAAGGCCTGAAAACTGGAAACTAGTACAAAAAATAGAGTAAAAGCTCCACAACATTGGTTGGGCAGTGACTTTTTAAATTTAACCTTAAAATCCCAGGGAAGAAAAGGAAAAACAAATGAGTCAGATTACTAAAAATTAAAAAGCTGTTGCACAGAATCTGACACAATCAACAAGGTAAGTCCACTAAAAATTGGAACAAAATATTTGTAAATCGTACGTGTCAAGGGGTTAATATCAAAAATACATAAGAAACTTAAATGACTGTAAAACAAACAACAAATAACTATTACAAATGAGCAAGAGGCATAAATATTTTTCAAGACAGTACATACATATGACCAGCAGATACATTAAGAAATTATCAATGTCAATTATTATTATGGAAATGAAAACCTCAGCCTCCCAAAGTGCTGGAATTACAGGTGTGAGCCACTGTGCCTGGCCTTACATAGACTTAATTTTGGATTAAATTTTTTTCTGTTTATTGCATCTGCAAAAATACATTTTAGTATAAACTCTCTGGAGTTTTCTAAGCTGTAGTTTTTGGAAAAAAATGTTTTTTCCAAATCTATTTCATTTGGAGAGTTTTTCATTAATACAAATTCTCTAATGTTGAATAAAGTTTGAGCAATGGCTTCAGGGTTTGCCTCTAGTATAAAATGAGTACAATAAGATTGTGATACAAGTTACTATAACTCTCTATACTTTAATGTTTGTCTTCAAAATAAATCATCTTCTGAAGTGTAAAGGCTTATGTTTTCTGAAAAATCTTTGAACAGTAATTGCACTTTTAATGATTTTATTAAGTATGAACTCTGATGTTGAGTCGATGTGAGCAGATATTAATAGTGTTTTCACTTTCTTTATATGTTTGTTCTCAAGTATATTTGTTGTCCTGTACAATAAAATGTGAGCATTGGTTAAAAATTTTGCCACTTTGTTCACACTTGTAGAAGTTTTCTCCAGTATGAATCACCTTACCTACAATTAAATGTGACAACAATATACTGGTTTTGTCACATTCTTCATATTTCTAGAATTTCTCACCAGCATTTCTTCGATGTTTGGAGAAGTTTTAGGTGTTGTAAAAAGCATTGTTACAACTTTCAGGTTTTTAGAGTTTCTCTCTGGTATGAATCATCTTATGTCTGTTAAGAATACAGGATTTGTTAAACGCTTTGCCACCTTCTTAACACTTGTAGGGTTTCTCTCCAGTATGAATTATCTTATGCGTAGTAAGGTGTGAAGACTGGATAAAGGCTGTGCCACATTCTTTACATTTGTAGGTTTTTCTCCAGTATGAATTACCTTATGTTTAGTAAGATCTGAGGACTGGTTAAAAGCTTTGCCATATTCTTCACATTTGTAGGGTTTCTCTTCAGCATGAATTATCTTATGTGTAGTAAGGTATAAAGATCGTTTAAAAGCTTTGCCACAGTCTTTACAATTTTATGTATGAATTGTCTTATGCCTAGTAAGGTGTGAGAACCGCCTAAAGGCTTTACCACCATCTTTACATTTGTAGATTTTTTTCCCGAGAATGAATTCTCTTATGTGTAGTGAGGGTTGAGGATTGGTTAAAAGTTTTGCCACATTCTTCACATTCGTAGGGTTTCTCTCCAGTATGAATTCTTTTATGTGTAGTAAGGTTTGAGGACTGGTTGAAAGCTTTGCCACATTCTTCACATTTGTAGGGTTTCTCTCCAGTATGAATTCTTTCATGTTTAGTAAGGGTTGAGGACCACTTAAAAGCTTTGCCACATTCTTCGCATTTGTACGGTTGTTCTTTAGTATGAATTTTCTTATGTTCAGTAAGGTTTGAGGACTGGTTAAATGATTTGCCACATTCTTCACATTTATAGGGTTTCTCTCCAGTATGAATTCTTTTATGTGTAGTAAGGTTTGCAGATTGGTTAAAAGATTTGCCACATTTCTCACATTGGTAGGGTTTTTCTCCAGTATGAATTCTCTTATGTGTGGTAAAATGTGAAAACCAGTTAAAGGCTTTGCCACATTCTTTACATTTGTAGGGTTTTCTCTCAATAATTCTCTTATGTGTAGTACAGTTTGAGGACTCATTAAAGGCGTTGCCACATTCTTCACATTTGTAGGGTTTCTCTCCAGTATGAATTTTCTTATGTTGAGCTAAGTGTGAAAGAATGCAAAATAATTTTCCACATTCTTTACATTTGAAAGGTTTCTTTGAAGTATGTCTTATCTTACGTCTGTTTGAATTTGAAAATTTATGAAAGACTTTCACATATTTGTCACATTGACATATTTTGCTATGGGTAGTTGTCAAACACTGGTTACGTCTATTATAACCCTTTTTGTGCATCTTAAACTCATCCACACTTTTACAGCCTTTTCTTAACAGTAAATTCTCATGTCCACATTTTTTATATTGTCTCAGTATGACTTCTTGGAAATAATCTTTTATGCCTTGCTCTGGCCAAAGGTCTTGGGCAATATGGGAACATATAACTGAAAGAAATGAAAATCACAAATCACTCCATGTACTAGACTGAGTATAGTTTATAAACCTAACCTATAAAGTTACACAAACTACATAACAAGATGGCATAGTAAAATACCACAGGCCCTAATTTCTTCATAAACATATAAATGTAACAAAAATCCAACGTACATTTGTAAAAAAGTAAGTTGGGTGTGTATGGTGCCCCAGGTGAGCACAATTGCAAAGAGCTATATAGAGGAAAAATAAAGTCTATTACATTTTACCCAACAGAGCTCTTCCTCCCCTCCATTGTAACATAGTGACTTTAGAAGTAAACTGCCAACTCCTGGTTTTCTTTTTAAAAGACAAGTAAAATACTGGCACATACATCTTTATTTCTGGTTTATAGGGGCTTTTCCAGACACTGGTTTCTGTACCTTATGACAAAAGGTTCTGAAAGAAATGGTGGTATACTTTAAAATGACACTATGAGCCTGCTGAGACAAAAACTAAGTTTTATAGCATCAGAGAGACTGTGGTATCACAGAAAACAAATGTAGCAAGTGATTACCAATTTTTTTTTTTTTTTTGAGACAGAGTCTTGCTGTGTCACCCAGGCTGGAGTACAGTGGTGCAATCTCAGCTCACTGAAACCTTTGCTTCCTGGGTTCAGGCGATTCTCCTGCCTCAGCCTCCTAAGTAGGTGGGACTACAGGCACATGCCACCATGCCCAGCTAATTTATTGTATTGTTAGTAGAGATGGGATTTCACCATGTTGATCAGGATGGTCTCAATCTCTTGACTTTGTGATCTGCCCACCTCAGCCTCCCAAAGTGCTGAGATTACAGACACGAGCCACCACACCTGGCCTACTGATTTTTAAGAAGAAACACAAATAAACTCCTTTAACTAAAAGCAAACACAAAATTTTAGACAAGACACATTATAAGAACATGTTTGAGAGACTCCCAGAATGTGTAGCCAAAATGATTGCTTTTAGACTATATCAGGACAGAACTACATTATGAAGACTGTGATGGGTAGCTTTTATAAATGTCCAAATCTCAATTAAAGATTACAATGTACACAAAACAGGGCAATGTAATCCCATCAAAAATATAAAATTTTCAGAAGCAAACCACAGAAAAGATGTACACATTAATTTTAAAAATTGATTAAAAATTGAATATTCAATGAATGAAACAGGAACACAGACAACTACAGAAAATCAAAAATTAAGATAAGAACAAAAATATTGAAAAAATTTGAAAAATAGAAATTATGGGGGTAAAAAATACAAGAAGAAATAATAACTGAAAAATCCCTCAGTAAGAAAAATAATGTAAACATGAAGAAGCTTAACAAACAAACTAGGATACATACAAAGATATTGATAACAATACATATATAAGCACAATTTCAAAACTCAGAGCATTTTGGGAGCTGCAATATAAAACTGATGTGTCATATACAAACATAGTCTTATGATATAACCAGTGAATTGTCAACAAAAATTTTGCAGGCCAGAAAGAAACTGTGTGATGTAGTCAAAGTACTGGAAAAAAAAAAAAAGTTTTCAAGTGAGAGTAATACCATCAGCAAATCTGTCCTGAAAAATGAAAAAACGATGTTCCAAAATAGCCAAATTCTGAAAAGGTATATTGGTACTGCATATACTTATAAAACTGCATAAACATATAAAAGATGCTGAAAGCAGCAGTTCCTTAAATGGAAAATAAAAGGATTAAAGAAAATACCACATAATCAAATAAAAATAAATTACTTTTTGAGAAAAATATGCACGTACATAAAAAAAGGATTTTGTAGCATTATCATAATGGTGCAGAAAACATTTTAAATTATTCTCTAAAATTTGAAAGATAAAAGCACAGCAATTATTATAAACATCTGTTAATGAATATACCATATAAAAAGACATATATATATATATATTTTGGAGACGGATTCTCGCTCTGTCACCCAGGCTGGAGTGCAGTGGCACTATTTCGACTTACAGCAAGCTCCACCTCCCGGGGTTCACACCATTCTCCCGCTTCAGACAAGATGGAAGTATGCAAATATTAATCAAATGAGAGCATAAGAGGCCAAAATAATATTATGTAAGCTACATCTTAAGTCAAAAACTGTCATATTTTATAAAATGTACTTGAAGTCAAAACTCTAGAGACAAAATAAGACCTTAAAAAATTATAGATTTATTCACGTATGTTTCTGTGTATGTGTGTTTGTTTCTGTGTGTGTGTATGTATACATATATCTCACATTAGGGCTCCAAACATATAAAGCAAATATTGACAGAAACACATAGAGAGCAATATAATTATAGTATATTTTAATATTGCGCTTTCTGTAATAAAAATAAAACAAGACAGAATATTAGTAAGAAAACAGACAATTTGAAGGGAGTATAAAACAATTATTCCTAACAAAGGTATAGAGGGCACCCCTCAAGAACCTTAGGATACACACTTTTATCAATAGCTCATAGAACACTTTCCTTGATATACAACTTCCTAGGCCAAAAAAAAATTTACATTTTTTAAAACTAAAATTTTATAAATTACTTTATATGACCAAAATGGAATGAGACTATAAATAATAAGAGAAAAAAATGAAAAAATTCACAAATATATATAAAAATTAAACAACACACTCTTGAGCGTGCTCTTGTGGAAAGGCTGAAATAGTTAATATTGTAAATATGTCCATCCTGCTCAATGTAATCTACAGATTTAATACAATGTTTTTCAAATTTCTCATTGCATTTTTGAACAGAAACCCCTCGATTATGTGGAATCTCAACAGACAATAAAGTACTTAGCAATCTTCAAAAAAAAAAAAAAGGGAACAATGTTGGAGGCTTTATAGTTTCTGATTTAAACACACATCACAAAGTTACAGAATTAAACCAATTGCCGGGCACGGTGGCTCACACTTGTAATCCCAGCACTTTGCAAGGCTGAGGCGGGTGGATTGCTTGAGCCCTGGAGTTCAAGACCAGCGTGGGCCACATGGTGAAACCCTGTCTCTACTAAAAACACAAGCTGGGCATGGTGGCAGGTGCCTGTAATCCCAGCTACTCAGGAAACCATCCAAAACTCTTCCCAACCAAGGTCTGGAAGAGGTCCTGCCTTTTCAGAGGCCTGGAGAAAGACACTCATTTATAGCCACACAGACAAGACTGCAGACCTTGGTCCTTACTGTCTTCCCTGAAGCACTTCCATGACTCAGTTCCAGTTCTTTGAGTCACAGTTCGTGGTCAGTTCTACCTACATGGAAACCCATACAGAGAGCTGGGGAAATCCTTTCTGGTACCCAGTGAAAACCATTTCCACCTACATTTTGATATAAAGCCCACCATATATGTATAACCAACTGCAGAAACCTGCCCTAGTGTTTACCCTATAGAGCAAAGTCCTAAAGGATATTCACTCTGCCAAAAATATAATGGGAATTACAACTACCCAAGCCCCTTGTAACAAGTCAACTAAAGTTGGACCCTAGTGAAGACCCAGCAGCCTTGTGACCAAGCTACAACCCCTCTCGACTGCAAGCCCAGAGGCCATTCTATCACCCTGGGCACCCAACAAAATAGTATCTTTATATCTTAAAGCCAGTTTATAAAAACTTGAAGAGGTGTTTGCTTCTTAAAATTCAGAGACCAATGCAAAACTGTATTGTGCCCATTCTCAATGCTTCTACTTAAACATAGCACTGAAGGTATGTGGCAGAAAAATTAGTCAAAATAAAGTTTTAAAGTCACTGAAATTGAAGACAAGTAAGAAGTTGCTGTTTATAGAGCATTTGACTTTATATATAAAAAACCATAAACAGTACATTAAAACCTGATTAAACTTATAATTACACTCAATAAATTAGCAAATAGAAAATTAACATACAAGTATACATTATGGTTCCAAACACTTAAAACAAACTATCTGATAAAATATAGAAAGAAAGCAATCTTATTTACAACAGCACTAAAATAAATTTCTGAGAACAAATTTAATCAAGGAACTAAAAAATATTTTAAATGAAAGATATATCAATTTAAAAAAATTAGAGAAGACACAAATAAATTTAAAAATATTTTGTCTATTAATTGAAAGAATAAATACTGCTAAAGTGGTTTATTTTTTATTTTTACTTTTTGACAAGAGTCTTGCTCACTTGCCCAGGATCAAGTGCAGTGGCACAGTCTTGGCTCACTGCCATCTACATTTCCTGGATTCAAGCAAATCTCCTGTCTCAGCATCCCAAGTAGCTTGGATTACAGGCGCCTGTCACAACGTCTGGCTAATTTTTTGTAGTTTTAGTAGAGACAGGGTTTTACTATGTTGGCCAGGCTGGTCTCGAACTCCTGACCTCATGATCCACCCGCCTTGGCCTCCCAAAGTGTTGGGATTACAGGTGTGAGTGACCATGCCCAGGCTAAAGTGCCTTGTCATCTAAGGTGTCTCTAGATTCAATAAACTCCCATCAGAATTCCAGTTATTTAAGGTAATAGAAAATACGATTTTAAAATTTACATAAAACTACAATAAACTTTGAATAGCTAAAGCAATCTTGAAAGAAAAAAAATAGCAAGAGGACATCATACTGCATAATTTCAAACTATATTTCAAAACTATAGTAATAAAACAGCATGGAATGTGCAGAAAATTAGCAATAAATAAATAACAAATGAAACAAAAACCACTACTCTCACACATTTCAGCCATAATGCAAAAAGAGAACTTAAAAAATAGTTTAATTAGCTGGGTGTCATGGTGCATGCCTGTAATCCCAGCTACTCAGGAGCCTGAGGCAGGAGAATCACATGAATCCGGGAGGCAGAGGTTGCAGTGAGCCGAGATCGCACCATTGCGCTTCGGCCCTGGCAATAGTGTGAGACTCCATCTCAAAAATAAATAAATAAATAAAATAAAAATAGTTCGACATAAAGTTTCTCAAAATTATGCAAATATCTGTGTGTTTCCAGAAACAATGGAAAAGCAGTCAGATTGTGTAGTCTATTATATGCCATGAAATGGACTTTGGCTCTCACTGTAAACTTAAAGTAAGATTACCAAAGGGGAAGAAGAATTTTTAGAGATTTAATAAAGATAAAGCAAAAGATGCTTCTATGTGAGAGGAAAAAAAATGTTTTAAAAAGTAAAATAAAAAGAAACAGAAACAATTTCCTTAGTAAAACAGCTTCCCAAATTATTTTTAAAACTGTTTTTTTTTTTAACTATAGATCTCTTATCAGTCTTGTCTATTGTATTTACTCTCACCTACCTGGGGGTTTGGCTACCATATCATGTGTCTTCACATTCCAAGGCTCTTTTTCTTGCTCCAGACAGGTGATCAGCTTTGGCTTTGAGACAGCAATACCTGTTTTATGAAAAATAACATGAATTTTGCTCATATTCTCCAATTACCAACTTAGTAATGCTCTCAGTAAAGAGAATGTAATGGAATATTCTAGTAAATTAACCCCAAAATAATAATTTATAACAAATTTCTAAATATATTGGGCACGGTGGCTCATGCCTATAATCCCAGCACTTCGGGAGGCTGAGGCAGGTGGATCAGAGCGAGGTCAGGAGTTTGAGACCAGCCTGTCCAACACAGTGAAACTCTGTCTCTACTAAAAATACAAAAAAATGAGCCAAGTGTAGTGACACATGCCTGTAGTCCCAGCTACTCAAGAGGCCGAGGCAGGAGAATCACTTGAACCCAGGGGGCAGAGGTTGCAGTGAGCTGAGACTGTGCCATTGTGCTCCAGCCTGGATGACAGAGACTCTGTCTCCAAAAAAATTAAAAAATTTAAAAAATAAAGAAAAATTGCTAAATATTTAAAAATATTTTAATTTTATAGGTTGTTAATTTAACTACCTTGTACTAATTCAAAAATTGGTGGTGGTAATGAAATTTTAAGATGTGGGCAATAATAAGTTGCAACTAAATTTCTAAAATTAACCCTAATCTAGAGTGAAGGAAACAAATCAGCTCAGGAAAGTGGAAAGTAAAGGTCAAAATAAAACATTTTAAAATTCTATTCTACATAGACAAATCCTGAAGATAAAAAGAAAAACAAAAACAAACAAAAAAAACCCCTGGGATCTGAAAGCATAACATTTTTACAAAAATAAATGAAACTTATAAGGTATATTAGCAATTGTGTATTAAGGTTAACCTCACCCAGGAAGACCAGGTTTCTGTAGTTATCTAACATCACATGTCTATATAAATTCTGCTGTTCAGTGTCTAGACATTGCCACTCCTCCAGAGAAAATTCTATGGCCACATCTCTAAATGTCAACGCTCCCTGAAACACATAAACACACACACATATTTACCAAGTGGCCATGGGCAGAATTTTAAATTTGACTCAAGGTGAAATAAGAGTAAAGATAACTAGGTCTTACTTATAGGGGTGACTGAAATTATCTAATAACTTTCAACACAGAAATATTCTCTCATGTATACTCTAACTCCGAGAAAAGAGAGTGGCATAAGATCCAAAATATCAGTGTATATATGATACTTTTCCAGATGATGAAGTAGGACATGAACAGTAACATGTACATTTTTGAGTGCTATATTTACATCATACAGAAAGAGTTGTGTAAACTTTTCAGATGGAAAATTTCATACTGAGTTAGAAGGTATTGCATAAATTTTAATGTGTACAATAAACTGAAGATCTTGTTAATGCAGTCTGTGACAGAAGGTCTGGAATAAAGCCTGAGTTTCTGGATCTTGGTGTGGTAGCTCATGCCTGTAATCCCAGCACTTTGGGAGGCTGAGGCAGGCGGATCACCTGAGGTTGGGAGTTCGGGACCAGCCTGACTAACATGGAGAAACCCCGTCTCTACTAAAAACACAAAATTAGCCAGGCATGGTGGCACATGCCTGTAATTCCAGGTACTTGGGAAGGCTGAGGCAGGCAAATCACTTGAATCGGGAAGCAGAGGTTGTGGTGAGCCAAGATTGTGCCCTTGTACTACGGCCTGGGCAACAAGAGCGAAACTCTGTCTGAAAAACAAACAAACAAACAAAAAAAACCAAGATCACCGGTGATGCCAATATTTATGGCCTAAGAAGGTTATTTTGTCAAATTGGAGTAATTGGAAGAGTCTGTGGTCTTTTTTTCCAGTTTTTCTGGCCTGTAACAAAGATTAGAGCTTTCATTTTCCAAAGGCAGATAAAGACAAAGAAAACATGAGAAAGAAGGGCAGCTGCCAGATTAAATGTGATGCTTCCTGCACATCAGCTGCATAAAGAAACTTACTAATGAAGAGAGAAATAATTAACTCCATATTGAAGAAATCTGTCAGAGAGCTTCATTAATCAACTGAGTTATTAATATCAACTGGACTAAGACAATTTTTATGATGTGCTGATGCACACAGGACACAGCATCACTGTTGTAATATTGGCCCTCCAAAAGTAAACGATAGCCTGAATTTAACTATAAAGAAACATCAGTTTTTTGTTTTTTTTTTTCTTTTTTTTTATTATTATTATACTTTAAGTTCTAGGGTACATGTGCATAACGTGCAGGTTTGTTACATATGTATACTTGTGCCATGTTGGTGTGCTGCACCCATCAACTCGTCAGCACCCATCAACTCGTCATTTACATCAGGTATAACTCCCAATGCAATCCCTCCCCCCTCCCCCTTAAGAAATATCAGTTTTATGCAAAGTTCAAAATACAGATGTCTCCCATGTTCTATAATTGTTAATAGTTAATAGTTATTTTAAATAGTCTTTCTTTAGAACCCTGGAGAAAAGTATCTCCTAATAATTTTTTTCAGAACTTACTGGGTAACAAATGCCATCCTGTTTAAATAAGCATTTTGTTAATCCTTTTCTACACAGAGCTGACGGAGAACAGAGACAGAAGCTCAACATTACCTGGTCTTTATTTTTATGAAGAACCCCAGCTTTTCCCCAATAGGAATCTTGAGCATCCACACCGTCCCATGTTCAACAGCCACAAGGGGAACATTTTTAATGATGCAGATTATAAATTCAAGGTGAGAATACTGCATGGCATATAAGAAGCCATGAAGTACAGAATGTAGAGAAGGCTCTGGTACATAGGAAAGAAATATTTTTCAGAGATCCTTGACAATTATAAGAATTTTAAAATGTAGTTACAACAAACTCATTTAAGAGGAAAAGTACAAGTAGAGAATTAAAGTTTTGCAAGTACTAAAGGCATGGCATTCTAGCAGGCAGAATGGACACAACTCTTACTCCAAGGCATGTTTAGCTGAAAAAAAAAATCCATTTTTTATCTTTTCCTCTTTCTCTGGAATGTCTTCTCAGATGAGACTTTTGAAAAAAATTACATCTGCATCTGGAGAATATGCCTTGAAAGATGTAAGCACCACATCTTTACCTGCTACCACCACACTCATAGGCAGGACCAATACAGAAAAATTCTACCCATTTCTGTCCTTTATAACAGAAGAGATTCAGGAACAAGCTGCTCCACAGATGTAAAAATATAAGTTTCTCCTTTCCTGTCCTCAGGTGTCCTCCCCCGCCACAGACACCAGCAATTTCTGCTACAGTAATAAAAATGTGGGCCACACTGCCCAGTTCCTAAGAAACCCAAACGGAACAGGTTCTGGGATCACCTGTTAATGCAAAGGTGAGAATTAATTATCATAAATGTATCTTGAACCCTCATATTTGATTCTGGCCTCAACTTAGAGTCACATGATTCTAATTAGAAGCCTGGGCTTATAACCATTGGCCCTATTCTATGAAATTGATTCTGCAGGTTTTGAAAGGGTACATGAATGGGTGTTATAAACAAGTTTCCTATCAATGCTGATATTTCTCCACCTGGGGTCACTATTAGCATTAGTTAGAGCAAGCAGGTACAGCACCGAGTTCCTTACACTCAGCACTCTTGTGACAACACAAATACTTTTGGTATAAATAAGGACAACCAATCTCCACCTTACAGTATTATAATCTTTGCTGGCTTTTTTTAAGTTTACAGAAGAAACAAAGCAACAATGTTTTTTGTTTGTTTTTTTGTTTTTGAATTTAGAAAGCAACAATGTTTAAGTCTGCGTTTAGAAAACAACATGTACACATATAGTAATGCAATGTTTATTATTCAAGTACTACATGCTCAATAAGATGCTGCAGGGCACTGTGATAGCACATTACAGAATTTAATCTTAATAACACCCTGTGTGTTGATACTAAGTGTTCAATAATTCCCAGTATTTAGAAAAATGACCCAGATTTTTTTTCTGTTTCTCTGTCATTGACCTTTTTTAAAAATGTGTAGAATAAAAGCTAAACATAAACAGATGAGAGGAATAGAGAAATGAAGAGTTTAATATAACTTACAGGAAATTTTATTGTGTTTATATTTACTTCTTGTGGCTTGGGGAGCAACTACTAGCTCTGCAGGAATGGAAAACAAGTTGCTAAATAAAATGTCTCTGCAAGCACTGGTTTTAATAATTTTAAAAAGACTCTAAAATTCATGCTTTATATTTCTCATGTATTGCTTTTCTGTTTCAGAAAATTGTGAGCACCAGCTCTAAAAGTGGAACAGGATACATCACCCAAAACTGATCTTTTCTAATCAGTTCTGTGAGGGGAGACTCCAGGGTAGGGCCAGACCTAAATAAGGCCTTCAGAAGGGGTGAATCTGAACAGGACTGGGACAGGGAGTGGACCCCAGCTAGAATTTGGTTCTCTATGCCAATGCGGGTATTTCCAGTTTTGTTTTTCCTAAACTTACCTAAGATAAATTTGTATCTCAGAGTTTGTGTAATTTAAACCTTTTATAGCCACTTTCCTGTCAATTTCATACCATATACTAATAAGCCATTTAAACAAATATTTAAGGTTTCCTAGGATAATTTTATTAAAAGATGAATATGTGTTTTTAGTAAGGTAAAAGAAATACAAATAATAATAACAACTCTTCTGTTCAGAAATAGTCTTTCAGGTAAAAACACCAAAAGTCACAACAGTATAAAGAACATGGCCGAAATAAAGCCCAAGTTTTTTGGCACACATTTATTTACCTACTATATGATGCATAATTCAACCTTTTATTCAGTTGCTAGTTTTATTAGCCTGTTCTCATACTGTTGATAAAGACATACTGGAGACTGGGAAGAGAAAGAGATTTAATGAACTTACAGTTCTATGTGGCTGGGGAGGCCTCACAATCATGGCAAAAGGCAAGGAGAAGCAAGTCACATTTTACACGGACAGCGGGAGGCAAAGAGAGAGCTTCTGCAGGAAAACTCCCATTTTTACAACCATCATATATTCTGAAATTCATTCACTATCACGAGAACAGTGCAGGGAAGACCCACTCCCATAACTGAATCATCTCCCACCATGTTTTCACCATGACTTGTGAGAATGACAATTCAAGATGAGATTTGGGTGGGACACAGCCAAACCATGTCATTCCACCCCAGCCCCTCCCAAATCTAATGTCTTTGCATTGCAAAACCAATCATACCTTCCCAACAGTACCCCAAAGTCTTAACTCATTTCAGCATCGACTCAAAAGTCCACAGTTCAATATCTTATCTGAAACAAGGTACATCCCTTCTGCCTATGAGCCTGTAAAATTAAAAGCAAGTTAGTTACTTCCCTGATATAATGAGGGTACAAGCATTGGGTAAATACAGTCATTCCATAGGGGAGAAATTGGCCAAAACAAAGGGGCTACTGGCCCCATGCAATCCAAAATCAAGCAAGACCGTCAAATCTTAAAGCTCCAAAATGATCTCCTCTGACTCGATGTTCTGCATTGAGTCATGCTGATGCAAAAGGTGGGTTCCCATCGTCTTGAGCAGCTTCACCCCTGTGGCTCTGCAGGGTACAGACTCTCTCCTGGCTGCCTTCATGAGCTTGTCTATGGCTTCTCCAGGCACATGGTGCAAGATGTCAGTGGATCTACCATTCTGGAATCTGGAGGACAATGGCCCTCTTCTCAAAGCTCCACGAGGCAGTGCCCCAGTAAGGACTCTGTGTGGGGGCTCCAACCCCACATTTTTTCTGTACTGTCCAAGCAGATGTTCATTCATGAGGGCTTCACCCCTGCAGCAACCTTCTGCCTGGACATCCATTCCATATATCTCTGAAATCTAGGTGGAGGATGCCAAACCTCAATTCTTGACTTCCATGAACCCGCAGTCTCAACACCATATAGAAGATGCCAAGGCTTGGGGCTTCCACTCTCTGAAGCAACAGCCTGAGCTTTACCTTGGCCCCTTTTAGCCATGACTGAAGTGGCTGGAATACAGGGTACCAAGTCCCTAG